TTTTTACTCCTTGGGGGACACTTTTCTGGCTGTTGCTGGAAACTCTCTTCCCCAAATTGCAATTCTAAGACCCCAAATAAATACTCTCATTTTGTTTTGTAGTTGCCTTTTTTCCTAAGTTGACAGTGGCTAAAGGTCAGGGATGTTGCTAAACATCTTCCAATGCACAGGACAGCCCCTTAGGGAAAGAATTATCTGGCCCCAAATGTCAACAGTGCCTGCTGTAGGTAAGGGTCACTGACCCACGGCGGGGAAAATCAATGCAAGTTATGTACTAGCAGCAAACTTTTTCTTTTTGAGAAAGATAATGGGTTTATTTCACCTTTTAAAACCAAAAAAGAGAAATAATCATTATTATTGGGTAAAACAAATACAAAAAATGTGCTTGCATTTTGGTGAAGTTTGGGGTAGGGACGCGGGAAGGCAGCAAGTTCCTCATGGCTGGAAATGCAAATATCTATGTGGCGCAGCATAAGCCTTTTTAGGGAAGTGAGGGGTGGTTTACGGTTGGAAAACTGGATTTGTGACCTTCTACTGTCTGTCTAGCTCCCAGAATCTGTGATTTTAAAACTAGGGCAGGGAAGTGAGAGAAAGAGTGGTTTGTAGTTCTTCCTCCCACTCTGATTCATAGGAGGCTCCTTTCTGGAGTAACTAGTACAGGGGTAACCAGCTGGCCAGTGCAGTACGACCCCACCTGAATTCGGACCAAAGGTCAAATTCTGGAGCAGCTTCCCTACTTCATAGCACGTGATCTCTTCACAGCATGCCTTTCAAGGGTGGTGTTACCTTCTGACCTGTGATTTACCAGCAGCAGGAAAAGGGCCCCTCTCAATGGTGTTCAAGCGATGAGTGCTTCTTTATCCCTGAATTTCAGGTCCTTTCCTGGACTGGTTCCGCCGGTGTTTCCATCTCCTTCTCTCTATGACTATATCTACATCTGTCTCAGAATGAAAGTCCCTAAAAAGCAGGTATCGGATGGGTTCGTGGTCCTCTGGGGGTTGATTACAGCGATGAAGTAGGTCATGATGATGGTTTTGCTTAGGCAGCAGCACGTTTAAGAATGTCTCAATACCAGTTTGAGAAATAGCTTTGCTTTGTGATATTGCAATAATTAATGTAACAAAAATAAACAAGTCAGTTGTTTCAAAGTGACCTGGGTCTTTGGCTCAAAACTTTAATTTCTAATAAGCCATAGGTTATAAGTTCACAAGGTACGAAAGGGTATATTCCGTGAGAATCCTCCTCTTCCTGGCCCCCATCTGCTCTAGGAGCAACCATTTTTCTCCATTTCTTGATGTTTTTTCTGAGACAGTCCATGCAAATACGGTAGACCCCCTTATCTGCGGGGCACATGTTCCCAGACCCCCAGTGGATGCTTGAAACCACAGAGAGTACCGAACTCTCTATATACTGTGTTTTTTCCTATACATACATATTTGAGGTGCAACAGCAAAACCAGCATGAAGTTCTTTTTCCTTCTTCACAATTTCATGGATAGAAGCTTCTTACTGTAGATCTCAGCAACCTCAACATATGACTTTTTTTCTTTCCTTATTAAGTGGAAAACTTTCACCTTTTCACTTAAAGAAAGCTCTTTACGGCTTCTCTTTGGCATATCCGAATTGACAGCATCACTATTCTTGTGCTTTGGGGTCATGATTAAGTAAAATAAAGGTTACTTGAACACAAGCACTGTGATACCACGACAGTCATTTCGAATCCACTTCCAAATGACTAATGTGAGGGTGTGGGTAGCGGTATACGGTGTGGATACACCAGACAAAGTGACGATTCACATCCCCGGGAGGAGGAAGCAGGATGGTTCAAGATTTCATCGTGCTCCTCAGAACAGCGAGAGCAAGTTAAAACTTATAAATTATTTATTTCTGGAAATTCCCATTTAATATTTTCAGACTGCAGTCAACTGTGAGTAACTGAAACCGTGGAAGGCAAAACTGCTGCTAAGGCTGGACTAGTATACAATGGAAATATGTCCATATCTTCCAAATAGTAGCATATTATAAACTCTGTTTTGCTCCTTGGTTTTTCAGCTAATATATTGCAAAGATTTCTCCATATCAATATGTTAAAAAATTTATTCTTTTTTACAACTGTATGCCTGTACTATTTTCCATTGTTTTCCTGTACTATTATTATTGGACATTCAGAAGGTTTCCAAATTTTTGCTATTACACACAGTGCTGCAATGACAACCTTATAAATACATAAAGTGGAATGTCTAGGTCAAAAGGCACACACTTTGTTTTGTTAACTGTTACTACACCTCTCTCTGGAGGCTGTAACTGTCAAGTTTCCCACTAGCAGTGCGTCCCTTTCCTCACACTCTCATCAGTGGACAGTGTTATGATAATTTTGATCTTTGCCAATCTGAGAAGTGGAAAGTGGCTGCCACTGCAATTTTAATTTGCATCTCTCTTATTATGAGTGAGGTTGAAGAGCCACTTGTATTTCCTTTTCTGTAAATTGTTATTTCAGCTGGATTGTTTATTCTTTTTCTTAGTGATTTATAACAGTTCTTTATACACTAAATAAATCAGACTCTTGTCTACAATAGTTGTGAACAATTCCCCCAAGTTTCTCTTTTGTCTTGACTTGTGTATGGTGGTTTTTGTCATGAAGCTTTTTTTGTATTTTTTTTTTTTTTGATTTCTGGGTTTCCCATCTTATTAGAAAGGTCTTAACACTCTAAAATTATTTTAAAATTTGTCCAACCATTCTTCCTAATACTTTAATGGTTCCATTTTTCATATTTGTATCTTTTATCAATTTGAAATTTTGGTGTAAAAAGTAAGGTAAGAATCAAACTTACTTTTTCCCAACTGGATACCTAGGTGTTATAATACTTTATTACGTAATCCATCTCCCCTATTCCCTGCACTGATTTGAAATAGTGTTTTATTATATCTAAATTTCCATATGTATTTATGTCTATTTTTTGGCTTTCCATTCCATTCTATTGATTTGTCTGACTATTCACCTGCCTATACCACACTATTTAAATTATTATAGCTCTGTAACATAGTTTTACATTTGGTAGGACTAATCAATCACCTGATGGTGGTCTTTGGATTATAATATTTAACATATGTTTTTAGCAAACTATCTGTGTATTTCCATAATTCTAGATGCCTTATATTCCTTCTAATATCTTCTCTTTGCTGCTCCAGAGCACTAAGTGGTGTTCTTTAGGGCTCTCTGTCTCCCAGACAAACTCTAGATAAGTTGAGTATCGTCTCCACAAATGCAGGGGATCTTGGATTTGATTCGGTAGCAGTGGGGAGCCCAGAGACATTAGTACAAAGGTACCCAGATTTGAGGTTCTTAGATGTACTTTCCCTTGCATGGTATGGCATTGTGTCTATATCTCTGGCCATATAATCAGGGCTGGGGAGGACTCTAATCATAAAACAGCCACAGATTGTGTTTTCACAGATAATCTATAAGATGCTACACACCCAGTGCCAACAGGAATGGGGGAAAAGGACCTGTCCAATCAGCAGGGCCATGCTGGCCCAGTGGACATCAGCTTCTAGGAGAGAGGCATTGGGGCGCACCAGCAGCAAGACCTGCTCTGCAGCTTCTGGTCCTCTGAGGTCTCTGCAGTGGACTGAAGCCAGAGCTAGAGAAGCAGGAAGAGATGGGGGAGGCAACTTTGGAGTCAAGAGAGATTTCCCTTAGGTATTTTCTGATTACTCCTTGTTCTGTTCATCAGGTCCGTGAGATTCTGAAGGGGCGAGAACAGTGTCTTTGGAGTACTTGGCACAATGCCTGGCACCAAGAAGTGCTCAGGAGGTATGTGTTAAATGAATGGAGGGAGTGGGCACCTGCCTGCCACAGGAGTCTTCTTTCATCACATGTGTCTTCCTGGAGTCTCCTCTAACTTCATAGGAAAGAGCAGAACTGGGCCATGAAACAGAGTCCTGTCCTAACTCCGTGCCTGTCATCCTTTTCAGGAGAGAAATATTCATTGAGCAAGGGCTGTGAATCCTCTTATCCTCCCCCCTCCCCTCACACACCTCCAGAGTGCTCTGAGAGTTTCTGCCAGCTTTTTTTCTTGTGTTTCCCTCATCTTTAATAGCCTTCAACTGAAACGTCACCCTCATTCATTACCTCTCCCTTTTCTACGCCAAACCCTTGTGTAAAGTGAGCGGGATAGCAAGGGAGATAGGAATCAATAAAGCTAATCATAACAGCCAACTCTTATGCAGTGTTTACTACGTGCTAGTTTCTGTCTCAAGTTTTCTACCTATTTAATTAGTTTAATACTTTAAACAGGTCGGTATATATTTTTACCATACCCATTGTAAAGGTGAGGAAACTGAGTTAACAGAGAGGTTTAGTAACTTGCCCAGGGCCATGGAGCTTGTCAGCAGATACACTGGGATTTGAACCGCAGAGTCCACTCTAGAGCCCATGCACTGAGACACTATACCCTTTCCTCGGCATGTACATGTGTGTGTTAACTTCATTGAAGTGTAACATTAAACTCTGAAACATGCACAAATCAAGTGGATGACTCAATGAATTTTCACAAAGTGAGCACACCTGTGTAACCAGCACCCACCTCAAAGAACAGAACACCACCAGAACCCCAGGATTCCCAACATGCCCCCTCCCAGTCTGTAGCCCTTCCCCGCCAAGGGAAACTACTCTCCTGGCTTCTCTCACCATTCTTCTGGGGGTCTCTTCCTTGTCTCTCTGTTTTAATCACACATGTATTTCAAGTATCATGGTGTCTTTTGCTAAAGTTAAAATATTCTATCCTGCAGGAGGAGAGGTGGTGATGGGGGTTGGGAGAACACATTTCCTAGATAAGAAATAATTGAGGATGGGAGAGTTGGGGGCAGTTGTTTCATTTCCCCTCGTTCTCTTTGCCAGTAAGTGTGAGGTTCCCCTCTTTCCTCCATCCTCCTCCCCCAGAACTACATCTCCCAGCAGGCTGTGCTCTGACAGCTTTCGGATTTAAATAGGATTCTGGGCTACACCTACAGCCAGGCTGTTGCTGAGCTCCCAGGAGAGAGATGAGCTAGAGGAGAAAGAAGCAGCAAGAAGCAGCCAAGAGTTGAATCAGACCAGGAGCCCGACCCAGAGTTGGAGTCTAAGTTGCTTTTGCTAAAGCAGCAGCAACTAAAGAATTTGAAAATATGCTGGCTATCTTGGGACTGCTCACCTCCGTCTTTTCTTTGCTGTATGTGACAGCTCCATCCATCAGGTTTGTCTTAATTCAGGAACTTGTGCCGTATTTTACAAAGCCCTGAATTTGGAGCCAGAGAGCTTGTAAGTAGATGAATTATTGGCTGCTGAAAGAAGAGAGAGGGAAGGAGGCCAAGGGAGAGAAAGTCAGGGCAAAAAAAACCAGGAAGAAAGGAGGTGGTTACGGATACAATGGTGGAAAATGAGAAGGAATCACCTGGGGCTGGGAGAGGAGGGGCTGGTTTGAATTCTGATGCTAGTGGAAGGCTGAGTGGATGACTCTGTTAGGTAGCTTGACAGACAACTTAGGTGGGAGTCCTTGCTCTGTCACTCTATTCCCTTGGGTTTCTCTGAAGGTCTCCCTTTCTTTACTGTCCATAGTCAAGGTGTCCGGGCTGGGTTACCAAGGGTAGTCATTGCCCAGGGACTCATTGTTAAATACCAGGCATTTGGGGGAAGGAAACAGACTCTCTTCCCTTTGAGACCCTCAACTAATGTTTTGGGATGGCTCTTTTGCTGTGGGATTTCATGAAAAATTTCAGAAAGAAATGTGTGTTCTGAATAGAGAATTTTAAAATTGCTGATGATAAAGAAGGTTAAATGGACATATAAGGGACAGAGTGCTGTTCTAAGTCCTGGCATAGAACTAACCTGGGTTCAAATTCCATTTTTGCCACCATTAGCATGTGACTTGAACGTCTTTGAGCCTCTGCTTTCTCCACTGTAATATGAAAGATATAATGGAGTGGTTGAGAGGATTAAAATAAATTCCCTGTGGAAAGTGCTAGCCTAGGGCCTGGAAGTCAGATGATGCTCAGGAAATATTAGTTCTGCTGCCCTCCCATCCTGTTTTTTGGAACTTGTCAAGTCAACTTTATGTGAAAGGATGCTCTCCGCACAGAGATCTGAACAAGGGAGGTTTTCTTTCTGTGTGCTGATGGCTAGAATGTACTCTCAGTAGGATGGCAGAAAGCCTCTGAAGATACTAGCTCTCTAAAGCTGGAGAGGCAGCCCGAGAGCTGTATTTGTATATGGGACCCCTGGAGGTACTGTTCATTGGTTACTCACCGTTGATGCTTATTGAAGACCTAGGGCTCAGGACCGCTGATTCCAGTAACGCTCATCACCCATATATTTTTAATGCAGGGTAGAGGAGGTCGCTGTCCTCTGGGAATCTCTAGAGACAGAGCTAGATATCTTTCTTATCTAACAAGGAAGCTCTCCATTGGCCCTCACTCAAGAGCATTTGTTCTGTTTGTCCGGAAGACCCTTTGCAGCTTCTGAGCACATGACCGTCCAGGCTGAGCTGATGAGCAGGAGGCTCCTTTGCCCACTGGGAAAATGTTGTCCCTTGAAGATTAGCTTCTTTAGGCCTCCTGACAACAACTGAAAGAAATCCCTCTTTGAGGCTGAATGGACTTTATGTATCTCAGTCAGGGACTGGGGAGGTGGTGCGTAAATGCTTTTGTTTCCCTTGCCTACAGGAAGTTCTTTGCTGGTGGGGTTTGCAGAACAACTGTGCAGGTTCCCGGGAAGGTAGTGGTGATCACCGGCGCCAACACGGGCATCGGCAAGGAGACAGCCAGAGAGCTCGCTCGCAGAGGCAAGTTCTTCCGCTTCTGTGTCCACAGGGCAGCGCCTCCTGCCTTTCTCACTGGAGGCTCTGCCCGCATTTCCTTCTCTTTCCTCCTGGGCTTGGGGGTTCTAGCCAGGAATTCAAGGAAACTGGGATTCAAGTCCACCTCTGGCACAACTTACTCTGTGGCCTTAAACAAACCTTCCTTCCTCCCTTCCTGCTCCTTTCCTATTATATAAAATAAGGAAAACAATGATGTCTGTAGGATATTGGTCAAGTCAGTGATTCTGAAAGGAGATACTAAGCAACATTAAATATCAGGGTGTAAAAACCAAGGTTCCTAGGCTGGGGGTAAGCTGCAGCAAGAAGACTGCTGTGAGAACCCTGAAGTGGCAATATAGCCTCTCACTGCTTAGGGATGGCTGGGAGGAGGCTCTCGCCACCAGTCCCAAGCTCACTTACTATACTGTTTTTCAGTCTAGGGTCTGAACACATTGCCTCTCTGTTTTGGTCCCAGGAGCCCGAGTATACATTGCCTGCCGAGATGTACTGAAGGGGGAGTCTGCTGCCAGTGAAATTCGAGCTGATACAAAGAACTCCCAGGTGCTGGTGCGGAAACTGGACCTATCCGATACCAGATCCATCCGAGCCTTTGCTGAGGGCTTTCTGGCAGGTGAGACCCTGGCAGGTAGCTAGACAAGCAAGTGTTGGATGTGAAAGTGGTTGCTCTACCCTGGAACATCTCTGACTCTTGTATCAGAACCATCACCAATCCCAATGGACAGATTCTGCCACATGAACCAGCATGGCAGGGAATTAGCAAGAGGATGACAGGATGACAAGCTGCGCAGGATCCTTATCGTCTTTTCGCTTCAGCAATGGGAATGTTGGAGGTGTCAGCTCCCTGTCTGGGCTTGCACCTTGGCATCAAGGTGTGGCCCTGATGTCACTCTTTTCTTTCATCCTGAAAATCAACCTTCTGTGGCAACATGCATTAAATGAGGTTTTGCTGCTGCCAAAATTCTTCTGTATCTTGGAAAATGACCAGCTTTTAGCAAGGACTATGAAATCTATGAGGGACAGGGACCGTGTCTGTTTTGTTTACCACTGTGTGCCCGTGTCTGTCTTGTTGCACCACTGTGTGCCCAGTGCCCAGCAGAATGGGCCTGGCCCAGAGTCAGTACTCAATGCTCAGTTGCTGAATGAATGGTGTCCAGGGAGCTATCAGTAACTAAAATTATAAACCCAATGACAGTACTTACTGAATATCATTGAGATAGGTCCAAAGGCAAGGAGCAAATACTCAGGACTATGATAGGCAGCTAGCAGACTTGTTTGTAACTACAGGTTCTCCTTGGTTTTGCCCTATAGAGGAAAAGCAGCTCCATATTCTGATCAACAATGCAGGAGTGATGATGTTTTCACATTCCAAAACAACTGATGGCTTTGAAATCAACCTGGGGGTCAACCACCTGGGTAAGTGTCTTTGAGTGATTGAAAAGAGAGGCATACCCCATCTTGTTCTCTGTGGGGAAATAAGCCTATACTAGAGCTGAGAATCTCCAATGGTCCTCATAGAGCCCAGAATTCCAATACACTGGACATAATGGTTTTTTGTTCACTGTCCCTCTCCTGACCAGTACAAAAAGATGAGCTCCTCCTGCCCATACCATTAAGAAACCTCAAAACTCGGGAGATGCCAGGGAGAATAATGTCATTCTTGGATGGGGCCGAGGGAGTGCAAGGCTTCCCAAGCAGGGCCCAGTGTGGGGGGTGCAGGAGTCTGTGTTTGGCAGGAGGGGTCAGATCTGTAACTGAGGGCTAAGCAAGCCAAGGGTTGGTCCATGGAGGAGGCAGATCTTGAGGACTTGAGGTGAGAGAGGCTGGGGTTCTGAGTCCAAGGTGATGGCTCTAATGAGGAGATCATGGATCATGTCCTCTGATGCTAGGCAAGTGATGTTTTTCCTAACTATCCCAGCCTTCCTTCTGTATATGTGTGTGCCTGGGCCCATAGTTGTGTGATCATGGCCAGAGGGGGACTGGAAGCCAGCAGGTGGCATTTCTCCTGACTGGGGCAAGGGCAGAAGTACAAATAAGTACAGATTAAGTCTGTATTCCCTTATCTATCATCTAGTGCTGCCCTTGCCTTGAGGAATCTCAGACTGACAGACCATTAACACTGAATTACTCTTGGCATCAAAATTTCTTCACGTTCAGAAGATAGTGAGCTAATGCCAAAGTCCTCTCATCAGCTCCCACGCCCTGAGCCTGGGCTGCCATTCTGCTCTTCAATCTGCCCTGCTGGTTCTCCCCGCAGGCCACTTCCTTCTCACCTACTTGCTCCTGGAGCGGCTGAAGGAGTCTGCTCCTGCACGGGTGGTGAACTTGTCATCAGTGATCCACCACCTTGGCAAGATTCACTTCCACAACTTCCGCGGTGAGGAGCCCTACAGATGGGGTTTTGCTTATTGCCACAGCAAACTGGCCAATTTGCTTTTCACTCGCGAGCTGGCCAAGAGGATCCAAGGTAAGTCTGGAGAAAGGGCCAGGGTTAACATAGCAAAAGCACGGTCTTCAGTCCAGATTACAGATTCACAGAAATTCTAAAGCCAGAACGTCAAACATGCACATTTCAGTGGTAGCTCTGTACACGAAGGAGAATGAGGTTATAAACAGAATAAAAACACAATTCTTGCCCTTGACAAGCTTCAAATCAAACAGGGGTTAGGAACTTAGAAAGTTACCTTACATTTATGTCACATCTTATCTCAATTATGATCTCATTTGATTTTTCACAACAACCTCTTGCTACAGACAAAGCAGGTATTATTATTACTATTTTCTGGGTCCAAACTGAAGTCCAAAGAAGTGACTGGCCCCAGGAGATATGGTAAGTGAAGTAATCAGGACCGAAACATGGGAAAGTGAAGTAACCAGGACCGGAACGTGGGAACGCTGCTTTAGGTCCAGGTGCTTTCTTCTGTGTGCTATTAGCAGAGGTTCGCACGATGAGCTGAGCTACAGAGTTGCCACTGCCTGGAGTCCAGAGCGAGGGCTGGATGTCAGGCCCCTGGGACTGAGTTCTTGCTCTACCACATACTAGCCGCATGTGCATGTGGCCGTGTTCCTTTAACCTCCCCTGACTTCATCCTCTCAGCTGTAAAATGAGGTGGGGCCGCTCTTAATTCTACGATTCTGTGCTCCCCTGGAGTTTTTGATGCGCTGCTGGCTTTCACATCTGCAAATCTGGGGGACCATTTGCTACAGCGAATAAGCCAGTGTTTGGGAACAACAGTACAGAATGCAGAAGATAGAAGAATAGGGTAATCATTAAGAGAAATAATAATAATGACATATTATTGTTATGTTGAGTTTTGTGTGTGCCGTGTACTGTACAAGCCTTCATTCATTTAACACAGCATTCCTATAAGGTAGGTGCTGTTATTCTTCCGCACTCTGCAAATGAAGAGATAGGCCGAGATATATTAAGAAACCTTACCCAGAAAGTTTCCTAGCTGAGCCAGGATTCAAATCCAGACAGCCTCACTCCGGAGTCTATGTTCTTTACGTCAAGAGTTCAGACCGTGGCCCTGCAGCCTGCTTGGTATGATCTTAGGCAATTTACTTAACTTCTCTGTGATCAGAGCTCAGTTTCCTCAGCTATAAATGGGGATCTTAATATTGCCTACCTCACAAGCCTCTTTGAGAACTAAATGAGATAATGCATGGAAAGCATGTAGCACAGACCTTGCACATAATGAGTACTAAAAATAGTGGAGGCGCCAGGGATGTCTTGGGGGCATGTTAACTCCCATTATCTCCATCAACACCCCTCAATCTACACCTCATAAAATGTGCTTCCCTGGCAAATGCAGCTCAAAACAAGGTCCTAGCCTACTACCTTCCAACCAGATTCTTCCCCTAAGCACTACCATAGAAATTCCGAAGATATCACCCTCAGTAATTGATACTCTGACTACCAGAATATACTGTTGTTTCTATTATTAAGACTTAAGCCACAGAGTAAAGGTGACATTGAAATAGAAGGACCTTCAACCAAGCACTCCTTTTGGAACATAGAAAGCTGGAAGGCTATAGATCTTTCTGGAAGAGTTCCATGACTTACTAGTCAGATTCTATCTGGCTAGGAGTGATGCCTTCTGAACCCTGGAGCTCTGTTTCCTGAGACCCTTCTTCTCACTTGTGCATTTTGCTGCAGGAGATGAGCTGTTTCCCTGGTCTAACTGTGCTCTCTTTGCCCTAGGCACGGGGGTCACCACCTATGCTGTGCACCCAGGCATCGTCCGCTCTGAGCTGGCCCGGCACTCCTTCCTATGTTGCCTATTTTGGCGGCTCTTCTCCTACTTTTTAAAATCGGTGCAGGAAGGGGCACAGACCAGCCTGCACTGTGCGCTGGCTGAAGGCCTGGAGCCCCTAAGCGGCAAGTACTTCAGGTACGTGCAGGCAGCGCAGGTTCCTCCACCACCTGTGTGCCTGGTGAGGCATAGGGCGCCCTGGGACCCTGAGTGGCTGAGTTTGTGCCGGATAGTGGAATCCAGGTTTGGGTTGGGCCTGCAAACCAAATACTGTCAGTTCTTTTCCAGGGGAACTTACATTAGAAACTTGGCAAAAGTTGCTTTTTTATACCTGCGCGCCAGTTTTCCAGGTGAGCTTTGTAGCTTTCTGGTGATTATGCCTTTGAAAGAATGTTAGCAGACCCTTTGGATCCTTTTTCTCCTCCTTGAAGCTTTTGGCTTACTTCTTTCATGAATCCTTCAATACCACTTAGCACAAAGTACTGGGACAAAGTCACCTCTCCCCAGTGTAAACTCTGTCTAGCAGTGCTGCCAGGGTTGGCACTATCTGTTGGAATATAGAAATAGACATTTCAGTGTAGTCTTACCACAAACTTAATGGGCAATCAGAGTTTGAGAATAAATGGAAGCCCAGGATTAAATCTTCTTCCCATTCCATGACTTGATCCAGCCCAGTTTGCTTGAGACTATTCACTGGTGCCCCACGTATTAAGTGAAGCACTGGAAATGATGTCAGTGTCAAACAAGAGGGGAATGGATAAATGGTAATAGCTAATGTTTCTTGAGCTCTTACAAAGTGTTTGGCACTCTTTAAGTGTTTTACATGTATTAATTCATACAGTCATCCCAACTCTAAGAAGTAGATAATAGTATTATACCCATTTGACAGATGAGGAAACTGAAGCACAGAATAATTAAGTAACTTGCTCAAGGTCATATAGCTTATAAGTGGTAGTCCTGGCTCTAGAGCTGTGCTGTTCAGTATGGTTGCCACTAGCCATACGTGACTATTGAGCACTTGAACTAGGGCTGGTCCAAAATGAGATGTGCTGTAAGTGTAAAAGGTATACCAGACTTTGAAGACAAAGTATGAAAAGAGAAATGTAAAATAGCTCATTAATAACTTTTTATATTGATTACATGCTGAAATGATTTGGCTATATCGAGTTAAACAAAATATAGTACTAAAATCAATTTCACCCATTTCTTCTTTCTTTTTAAAAGATACTTTAAAAATTTTACTACAAAATTTAAAATTACATGTGTGGCTCACATTTGTGGTTTGCATCATGATTTCTGTTAGACAATGCTATCCTAAGAGTTTGGATGTTTAACGTCACTGCCTTAAATATGTGATAAAATATTAGACAGTCACTAAATAAAATATTTTCAAATAATATTTAATTCACAGGAAAATGTTGGTGATATAAAATTGTGAGAAGAAACTGCTACATAGAACTATAAAATTATTCATTGTAAATACATAGAAAACAGTCTGGTAGGATACATAGCAAACCATAAGGAGTGTTATTTCCAAGTGGGTTTGAGGAGGAGCCGGGGGAGTGCAAAGGAGGATTTTAACCTTTTACTCTAGGTATTTCTTTATTATTTAAAAAAGTTTTAAAGATCAAATATTTATTTGTTACTTGTATGATTAAAATATATATTTTTTACAAGAGAAAGCTATCCTCCCCAAAATAGATACAGTACGATCTCAGTTTTGTATACAAGAAAGCGAGAAAGACTATATATCTATTTTTACACAAATAAAGCAAACAAGAGTGTAAGGAAAAGTAATTAAATAATAGGCTTTTCTTTTTTTTTATCGGTACTGCATTTTCCAAGTGTTGTACGGGACTTTTATAATTAGAAAAAAATATCCTTTGAAGAAAAGCACCATGAGCACTGCATTCTGCCTGTAGCACCTTGTCCATCTAGCCTCCAGTTCTCTGATCCCCCCCAGACAAGAGAAAGCAGGGTTACTTAGTCTGGGGCTCCTGGGGCACAAGAGGGTCTGTGGAAAGAATTCAAGGGGTCTGTGAACTTAGATGGGAAAGTAATTTCAACTTCATCTTTCATTTCACTGACCTCCATCTGAAATTTGGCATTTCCTTCGATTGTGAATGTAGGCAGTGAACCACAGGAGTAGTCATGATACCTGTGACTTTGTCACCAGTAAAACTATCAATATTTTCTTATCACATTGCATTGTTGCAGATATCTCAGAATGTCACTTCTGCCCACCACTTTGAAATCCAGTGGTTATTAGACCCAGTGCGAGATCTTGTTATAGAGTACATTAATAAAGAAGCATATGTATTACTATATCATGAATTTGTTTTTAAAATGTTTTAAAATTGCATTTCAATACAATTAGTTTTTGTCATCCAATATATTTTACATATTCATAAATATATTCTGAGGGTCACGCCCAGTGACACAGTGGTTAAGTTCACACGTTCCGCTTTGGCGGCCCAAGGTTTGCTGGTTTGAATCCTGGGTGTGGGCCTATGCACGGCTTTGGCAAGTCATGCTGTGGTAGGAGTCCCACATATAAAGTAGAGTAAGATGGGCATGGATGTTAGCTCAGGGCCAGTCTTCCTCGGCAAAAAGAGGAGGATTGGCAGGGGATGTTAGTTCAGGGCTAATCTGCCTCAAAAAAAAAAAAGAGAAAGAAAGAAATATATTCTGAGAAAGAGGCCATAAACTTTTCCAGACTGTCAATTTTCACTCCTGGATGTTCATGCTTTCTCTGCTCTCTAGTGACTGCAAGAGGACCTGGGTGTCTCCAAGGGCCCGAGATAACAAAACAGCTCAGCGCTTGTGGAATGTCAGCTGTGAGCTTCTAGGAATCCAATGGGAGTAGAGCTACCGGAAGAGCCACGGCTTTATCAGGCACAATCCACACCATAATGAACGGAAGCCAAGGAGAACCCACCCTGAAGGATTGTTCTCCTGGCTGGCTGCTGTTGCAAATCCTGCCGTGCTCTGGTCTTCCTGACCCTTCTGGAAACCTTTTCACATCCAACCCTCTTGTGAGGCTGGCTCATGGCATGAGACATTCACACTTACAAAGCATTCTTCTCCAAGACTTGCAAAGTTGGCCACCATCTAGGGGCAGGACGACTGGGAAGATGCCAGTCTGGGCATGGGGCTGGCAGAAGAGCCTGGGAAATTGGATTAATTCCCTCACCAATACCAGAAATGTCAGCCAGCATTCTCAGCTGAGGTGACAAGAGCATCAGTGTTACAGATTTTCAGGAACTATAGACTCAAGCTGTTGACGGATCTCTTTCCTCTTTGGATTGCTAGTTGTTGCACTGAAGTCTGGACCAACTCAGGCAAATCTTGGCTTAACCTTGACCAAATTTGGTTCCTTCCTCTGAGCATTCTGGAGTCACTGCATGAAGCTGGACCTTCCCATTTTCTTTTTCTAATTCTTTTTAAAAATTAAAAATATTTTTTCTAGCTTTAATGAGATATAATTGACATATGACTATGTAAATTTAGACCGTCTCATTTTCAATCATGTAGATGGTTTCTTTTTCTAAAGGGTTCCCTTTACCTCACTTTTCAGAGAAAATAAAAACTACACATTCATCTTACTGCCTTTTTTATTTTCTCAGGGTAGCAAAGGAGAGATGGAACAAAGTGGGGAATCCAACCTCCCAGTTTTGTGAGTAGTATCTTATCCTACCCACCCACCCATAACCTTCTTACAATGTCACATCTGGGTGCAAAATGAGACGATTCAGTTGAGTATTTTTTCAAGTTTCTCCCAGCTCTCACATTTTATTATTTAAGAAGTGATAGGAGTGACTTAAATTACACAGATGTTGAGCTCCACTATAGATTAAATCCAGACGTAGTATAAGACTCCATTTAATTTGATATAAAGATGCAGAAAGACCAAGCCTTGAAACAACCTTCTACCTAAAATCCTAGCTCTTCTCTTTTCTGGCCTCCCTGCTCTCCTGTGCTGAAACCCCAGGTGACCTTCTTCTTGCCTCAAGAACAGGTCACCAGGAAGAGGCAGGGAGATGTGCCTAATCTTTCAGCCAATTGACCCAAGAAGTCATGCTATTGTTTCCAGTTCTAAAGCATCCAAAGGGCATCCAGTGATAAAAATGCCCTTTCCTTCCACAGCAAGTAGACTTTAAAAAAGAACCTTGTTATTATGGAAATCTCCAAACAGACAAAAGTAGAGTAAATACTACTGTGAATCCTCATGTACTTACCTGTCACCCAGCTTCAATATTGTTATCATTTGGTTAATAGTGTTTCTTCTATTTCCCCCATGACACTCTTTTGGGGGTGGGCTGGGATATTTTAAGGGACATTCCAGACGTCATACATTCACCTGTAAACACTGTAATGTGTGCCTCTAAATAAAAACTTTTGTTTTTTTACAAACCCACAATACCATTATCACTCCTAACAACATTAATAATTCCTGAATGTCATTTAATACTTGGGGTTTGCTTCCCTGTGTTAAAGAACAAAGAGTCAACTGAGTAAATTTAAAAATCTAATGGGTTTTATCAAACAATTCATAAATTGGGTGGCATCACATCCAGCAAAGGGGCTCTAAGGAGTTGTACAAAATGGAAGGTTTTTATAGGCAGAAAGAGGGTGGGATAAAGAAGTTAAAAGAGTGGATTATTTCAGGCAAGGTCACCTTCCCTTAAGGGAAAGCAAAACGTCTTATCAGGCAGATTACCTCACTAGTGTTGTTCAGAAAAATTCCAGACTGATTGGCTTAAAATTCCACTTCTGGGAGAGGCTCAAACTGCAATTAGCTTAGGTATTAAGTCTTGGTGGCGCTTAGCATGAGTGACTCCATTTTAGACTTGATTCTTTTTAACAATTTTCCCCTTTTGATCAAACTCTCAGCCTAACTGAGAGATGTGATCAAAATTTAAGGCATGGCGTCACTCACAGCTTTGCTCTGTAGTTCTCACAGCTTTCACCGAGCCTGAGTTTTTTCTTGCTGAATCTCTGTGGTATTCACAGGTCAAAACTTCAGGCTCACAATTTTTTAGGCAGTCTTTCTCTTTGTTCCTTTTTTGACGTTCCAGTCTTAGGGAGTTCATTTGCTTAGTGGTTAGCAACTGCAAACATGCAATTAAAACTTTTGAGAGAATGTAATGCACCAGGGAGATTATTATGATAACTATAAGCAGGACAATTCCTAATGTTTGAAGTGCACTTTGGAACCATGCTCCCCAACTCCCCAACCAATCAAAGAAAGACCCTGTTGAAGGATCACTCTTTTAAGCCAAGTGACTTGCTCAGTGATCTTATGTACTCAGTTTCAGCTCCCTTAGAAGTGTTAACCCAGGTATGGCAGGCAGCTTGGCTATAGCACAAACACTTCCTTGCTTAGCTAAAAGATAATCCTGTTATCAAGAACAACTTTGGACAGAGAGTCTAAGGATCTTTACCGGACAGCTAATGTCTTAGCAATGGAATCTGCAACGTCTCCAAGAATTAAGGAGGGTTTCTGATCATTTTATCTTTTGTATTTATGCCTAAGCTAGGGCACAGTCAGGATTGTAGTGCATATGGGAAGAGAATCTCCTAGCCTGAAATGGAAAGTGGTCCTAAATGCCTTATGAAGGTGGGTGCTGCTGGTGAGATCGCAATGAGTGGGGGAAAATCTGATCTAGATAAGCATGGGGATGCAAATGTACTAAGATTCGTGTAGTTAAATGTATCTAATTGGGTACATACAGCTATAATTGGCACAGGTTGTTCTGGCCATAAAAGTTGAACTTTGTAAAAGACTCTTAAGGGAGGTTGATTGTAGTTTTCGGTGACATTGGAAATAAAAGAGAAATTGGTCACTGGGAGAACCAGGGGATCTCTTGCATCATGACAAATCCAGCAATCTGAAAGTTTGCCCCCCTTAACAATGGCCTGAGAGATACAGAGGAAGGTGTTCTCTTTCCAGGCCAGTGCCAGAGTAAAGGAAAGAAAAGAAGAGAGGGTTTCCTGTTTAGTTAAAGCATGAAGTCTTGATCTAGTATCTTGGGAGGAAGCGGTCTACATTTATGTCAGCTGCTTCTCTTCCTCGTCAATTTTATTTGTAGGTCTCCAGCGTCTATAAAGGACCAGATATCAGGTGAAGCTTTCTTTAGTTCTGAGATGTGTACCCAAGGTTCAAGTTCCTGAAGTTTGGCTGCCATCTGTGTAATGAGGAGGACCTGATATAGTCCCTTGCAAGGAGATTCAAGAGCAGTATTGGTTCTTAGTGACTTGCCAAAAGTCCTTTCTGTGAATCTCCTTGAAGATGAAGTACGTTTGCAGGACTGCTTTTGTAAATGCATCAGAGTAAAACAATAACTGTCTGTGAAAAGAGTTAAAGATGCTCATTCTTAAAGATCTGATGAGAGTTCACTATAATGGAATTGACAAGGAAATTTGGTTGTTTCTGTAACATGTAACATTTTAAGATAATAGCTAGAATTATGGCTGGTAAAATAATGCCAAGACACATGAGAACTTTAGGAATTTCATGCAGTTTCTAGAACACTTATATTAATAACATTCACCCATACTATATAACCTAAGAAAGTTTATCATCACTTATTTGACAATGCTTCTCATATAATTTAATGTACTAAATAAGCCTAATTAGTGTAACATCTCCCTGTTATAAGGAGAGAGAACAAATCTTTTGAGATTTTCCAGGGGCCCTCTGAAATATCCCAAAGTTAGTTTGAGATTAGTAATTTAGAATTTGATTTGGGGAAGTTTGTCAAAAATATCAAATGACATTAAAACACTTGGGCAAATAGCATCATAGTTCACAGTGAAACAATACTTAGTTATCTATGTAACCAAAGTGGTAATTATATTCTTCACAGGCAAATATAGAAGGCTACGTAGTTGTAAAAAATCCTTAGCTGTTTTAATGGAAAAGACTCAGTTTTCTTAGGTAATTAAAGACCTGATGATAAAGATAACATGGAGCACAGTAATTATTTTGATAAGACACAAAATCTTTGCTTTCTAGGCAGACTACCGAAAAGGCAAAGAAACGTTCACAATCTGTTACCAAAAGCAGACCAAAAGTCCAAGAAAATTTTATCCTTTTAACAGAGAGAAAATCAACTCTAATTTTGCACCGGTGTACTTTTGATATTAAAACTCACTCACTTAATTAAATTCATTCCAATCTTAGCCAGTCTTGGCCACACATAAAATTCATTTCTAAAGATTCATTTTCCACAAATTTGCTACAACCTCTTTTTCAACATTCAGATTTTGTCCACTTCTGGGAGAGGCTGAAACTGCAATTAGCTTGGGTATTAAGTCTTGGTGGAGCTTAGCACAGGTGACTCCATTTTGAGCCTGTTGTTTGTTTTTAACACCTGGTTGTCTCACAAATGTCTTTTTACTGTTGGTTTGTTCAAATCAGTGAAAGAAATGGTCCTTCTGAAAAAAAAAGAGAAGCCCCAGCAAATCTCCTTTTGCCTGAATGAATACCGGCTCCCTCCTGAACCAATCACTATGGCTAGGGATAGGCTAGGTTAATTGGCTTAAGCCAATCACTACCCACACATGAAGCTGGGATCATCCCAACCACCCCACCCAGTGAGGAAGAGGGGTGGCTAACATAAAGCACTTACGCTAGTTAAGATTAGCTCGCCTCACAAGAACCCTCTGGGGAAGATTCTATTGCTGTCTCCATTTTACTGATGAAGCACAGAGAAATCAAGTAGCTTGCCAAAGTTCACACAGCTGGCAAGTGGTAGAGTGGACCCCGGTAGTCTGACTCCAGAACCTGCACTCTGAATAGCCATACTCTACTCCTTCCCACGGTGGAGGAAGCAACAAATTTTCTCAAGGAAAAATCTGGGAACATGAATGGGCAAAGGGTTGGGGGGAGCCATAACACTGGGGAAGCAAGTAATATATGTTCACTGCAGGGACCTACGATCTGTGCCTCCTAGGCTCTTGGGTCAAGTGGAAAGTCTGGTGAAGAATGAAGGGTGAAAAGAAGAGAGGAAAAAAATCAAAACAGGAAAGGGCCATGCAAGTCTGGTGGACAGGCCTGGTGAAGAGTCTGCAGGGGATTCATGATCCTGGATGCCTCCTCTGGGCTGGAGGAACAAGCGTAAATCAAGCACTAGGAGTGTGGATGTGGAAGGCAAGTGTGCAGGGCTGCTCTCTGTGCAGCAAGGAGAGCAAGTAGACCATGGGTGCCGAGGCAAGGATTCAACCTGTGTCCTAGCTTAAAAGACAAGCAGTGTAAACAGTGAGGCAAAGGGGTGGGGTTGGGGTGGGGGCCTTTATGCATGTCAGAGGGGACTGGTTGCAGGTAGAAGAAACAAAGCCATGTATCAGCTGCAAGGAGTTGGCTCCAGCTGCTACATCCAGGCAACAAGCTGACATTGGTATTGGTACTGGTATAGGTGGCTCAGTGTTCTTGAGCAAATGTGCTCTCAAGGCTGGGTTCCTCCACTTCCACACATTCAAATAGTCATTTTTATTAAAACGGTATCTTCTTTCTATAGAACATCTTTTTTCAGAGAGAATAGAATGCTAACACATTCAAAAGATTGTTCCTTAAAATATATGGAATCTTTATATTATGTGTCTTTGGAATCCTTTGGGCTATGACGTTTATAAACTTTTCATGTTTGCCAGACTACTTGTTAGTATGATAGACTTAATGAAATTCATCCTATTCCTGATTTGTGTCAAATATCTGAAATCTGAAAAACCACTTTGTATATTCTCTAAGATACTCAGAGAACTTGGGGATGATTGCTTGGGGCAAGGGGCTGACAGCTTCAATCTGGAGTACAGGGGCTGGGGGAACAGCCAGGGAGCAGGGCCTGGAACTCAGGGCCAAGACAGCAGCTTGAATGTGGCATCCTCAGGGTCAGTGAATATTAAGAGGAACCCATCTGAGCTGGGGAGACAGATGGAAAAACGTGATTTGAGTGAGAATCTGGCACTCAAGAGGGAAGGACTTTGCTCCCCCATGGCCTAATGGCTTTAGGAATGGTATTTAATGGAGAAATCCTTCCTCTTGAGTTTTAGGGTTGGAGATGGGGGCAGTCACTGTGTTATTACCTAACTCTGATCTCTGGAAATCACAGAAATTGCCCCAATTCTACTTCCCTAATTGTAACTTCCAAACTGTGGATCTTCTTCCTTCCTGAATAATGACTCTATTTGAGGCATGCATCATTTCCTGCCATCTTTGGCAAGTGGCACAGCTCAGTCAGCTCAAAGTGGTACAGGGCTGGGGTGGTTACTGCTAACCACAATGTTATACTGCCTCTCACTTAAAGAAGTCTGTGAAACATTGTTTGGCCAAGGAAAATATTTTAAATCTGAAGTTTTCTGTTCTATCTCAAATTGTTGGGTGCATTTATATCTACCAGTAGTGACGCCAAATATGTGAGAGCTGAGCAGCAAAGAATGCAAAAAAAAGGAAAAAGAAAAAGAAAAAAAATGATGTGAGTATTGATTTTACACGTTGTTGGTATTTTCAGAATATTAAACAATTGTTGTTCCCCTTGCTCAGATTCCAGACTCCATGATTTCTTGTGGCCTTCAAGCGTCCTTATGAGACTCAGCCTTCCTCAGCACTATTCTTTTAGAATCATCTCGTGCTCAGGCTTCATCTTACCTCTCTATAGCTTCTTGCCCAGCCCCAAAATGTTGTCTAGTCTGCTCAGTCTGAGCAAGGAACAAGTACCAGCCTTAGCCTCTTATCCTGTTTCCAGAAGAGACTTGCCCCAAGTTAACAACCAAGCAAGGGTAAGGGCTTGCCCCAGCACAAACAATGCTGGGAATCTAGTGATTGAATCATCATTCAACTTTCTCTTTTTTGCTCCTTAGATTTTCCCATGACCACAATGGCCATTTTTCTTTCAGTGTAGTTGTGCTATGGATATGGCTTCCTGACAGGCAGAGTGCCCGTTAGGATACAGGAGACAAGATCCTGGATGATAAGGGCTCAGGAATTACAGTCATCTCAGATTTCTCTGCTCCTTAGGTGCTTCTCTGGCTGCCCCAGGCCCACTGCCTTCACTATTCTTGGCTTCTCTTATACTCTGAGACCCTTAGCTAGCCTAACCCAAGATGAGGAAAATCTCCTTCCCCTTTGGCTTAACCGAGACTGGCTTAAATTTCTCAAAAATAAAACTTGTCTGGGAAAGTAAAGGAAAAGGAGACCAAAGAGGCATATCAAAGTCAAGAAGCAAACAGCTCCAGAGCAAAGATTACCTAAGTGAGGACTGGCTGCCAAAGATCACATATTGGCTGGCACCTGGCGTTTGTTCAACACAACTCTGTATTCAGTGTTGCCATGCCTCCAAGCCCTGGAGGATCTACATTGTGTATTTGGCCTCTTTTAGTGACAAGATAATCACCCACTTTGAGCAGGCTTAGGCCAAAAAACAGAATATTTTGCTCATAAATTCAAGGAAGGGTTGAAACTGAAAAGTGGGAAAGGGCAGGGATCTCAGAAATGACTAGAACTCGAGCGTCATGCTCCCCTCCCTATAACATTTGCCTTTCTCTGAATGTGGACTTGACTTCAGAGTAAGTGGCAAGAAACTTGGCTGTTGAAAACTCTCAAGCTTCACATCGCGTGTTTTCTACCATTGAAGAGGTGCTACAGCTAGTTTCTATTTTTAGTGTTTAAAAAATGTTGGGCTTGGCTTGGGTCACATGCTCACCGTGACACATTCAGCAGTGTAAGGGGGGAAGAGTCATGTAAGAATGTGACAGCTGTAGGGTGGCATTTCAAATCAGTGAGAAAAACATGGTCTATTCAGTAAATGGTGTTGGACAAATAACTATCCAAATAAAAACATAATGTTAGATTCCTTACCTCACACCATTCATAAAACAAGTACTAGATGGATTAAAAAGCAAAGACCAGTCTCACCTACCGAGGATGGTGGAGAGAAAAATGGAAAGAATCTGGGTGGCTGATTATAAAGTAGTGAGTCACTTCCAAAGGCAAGGGAAACAAAAGCAAAAATAAACAAACAGGATTACATCAAACTAAAAAGCTTCTGCACAGTGAGGGAAACCATCATCAAAATGAAACGGGAACCTACTGAATGGGAAAAGATATTTGCAAATCATATATCCGACAATGGATTAATATCAAAAACATATAAAGAACTCATACAACTCAACAACAAACAAGCAACCTGATTAAAAAATGGACAGAGGACCTAAATAGACAGTTTTCCAAAGAAGACATACAGATGGCCAATAGGCACATGAAAAGATGCTCAACATCACTAATTATTAGGAAAATGCAAATCAAAACTACAACAAGACACCATCTCACACATGTTAGAATGGCTGTTATCAAAAAGACAAGAAATAACAAGTGTTGGTGAGGATGTGGAGAAAAGGGAACACTCATACACTGTTGATGGGAATGTAAATTGTGCAGCCCCTATGGAAAACAGTATGGACATTCCTTAAAGAGTTAAG